GAGGATGTGAGCCAGCAGCGGTCTTTGCACTTGATGTTCTTGAGCTCCACCCTGAGCAGATCAGAGATATCATTATCCTGAAGGAGTGTATTTTTAAAAAGTGTTCAAATTAAAACAGCTGCTGCTGAGTAGAATGTGTGGCTTTTTCCTTTGAACCATAGGGTTTTGACCCCCTTTGCAGTCACACTTCTGATACTGCTTCTCTAAAACATAGCTCTTATAGTTCAAATATGGACAAAATTCAGTAGGGTCATTGGAGCTCTGCCATTATGCATTAAACACGTGTGTCTTAAGATTTCTTTCTAATTTTGGCCCCCTGCTGAATAGAGAGGTTTTTTTTTTAATAAAGCACATTCCAAGTTTTAAATAAAAACATTTATTTATTCAGTAATTATAAAACATATTAAAAATAGACAACACACTGAAGTTCATCCAAAATGTCTCTTTATAAATTAGGGCTACCTGTTTATTTTACAATATGGGCTAAACCTTCAGTTTTTTTAACTTCAGGTGTGACTCTTCTTGGTGGTATCAGAAGTTTACATGGTTTCGGATATCATTGATTTGTTTCACCATTTCTCTTATGTGTTCACCCCTGTAAAATGATAGTCACACACTTTTAGAAATGAATAAGGCAATAATAGGGAGTCTTACGAATTTTAACTGGTTAATGCAGGAATTTCTAAGAACAGCTTTGCTAAAATTACAGTGGTGTCTTGGTTCATGGACTTCTTCCATGATACTGGTCACAGAGTAAGTCCATAAATGGATGACAATGGGTGGACTGTGGGTAGTAGTCGCTCAGCTATTCAATTATGTGTGTGGCCGGTATTGAACCCATTCCCTCATGTGTAACTCCAAGAGATATTTTTGAATATACTCACTGGGAAATACTTTTGAAAAAAACAAAAAACAAACAAAAAACACCCACTATATTACAGGAAAGCTATCATTTTCCTTTTTCTATTTTTTAGGAGACAGGATCTTACCACGTAGCCCAAGCTGGCCTGAAACGTAATAGCAATCCCCCTCTCCCCCTGCTTCAGACTCCCGACTATTGGGATTACAGGTGTGCCTATCATCATCCTTATTTCATAAGTCCTTATCTGTCCTACAGATGCTAAGACCAAGGTTTATTTGAGCAGGAAGAGGTGGATTTTTGGCATGCTCTAAAAGAATAATTTATCTTCCAGCTGTAGCTGGCCTGAGTCGTGTACTTACTCCTCCTTGAGGACAGACTGGATGCACTTTTGTTGGTAGGCACTGAGAGTAATGGTAGGTTTTTGTGGACTCAGAACCTTTTCCATTTTTTGCTGCTGATAGTCTTTTTTCATAGTAACCTTGAGTATCAAAGAGAACCAAGATATTTTGGTTATGGTTTGCTACACATTTTAACAGTATTTTTAGGCTTCTCAAAATTATCTTCTATGATTATTTTCTGTAGTACAACTGGTTCATTTTTAAGGACAGATTTGCTGGGCGTGGTAGCCCCAGCACTTAGGAGGCTGAGGCATGAAAATCACTGCAAGTTTGAGGCCAGCCTGAATTATACAGCGAGACTCTCATAAGACACAAGGACAGAATTTTATATTTATTCCTACCTGTTTGATGGCATTGCCCAGATGTCGAAGTTGGTCAGGGATCAGCTGCAATTCTTTTTTCATGTCTCTCTCACTATCAGAGAGAACTGGAAGCTGAGAGTGAAAACTGTGAAGTACTTTTTTCATCCTTTAGAAAAGGCAAGCAGACATCTCAGTTTAAGATCTCTAATTAGGAGAAACTCATGAATTTGGTGTCTGGAAAGGAGGTCTTCCTAAGGCTGGGTTAGGGAACAACATTGTATCTTTTCGTATACATACTTGAGAGAAGTAGGGACAGCCATTCAATTTTGTACATGATTCAGCCATGCTAAGGTTCATTTTCTTAACTGTTAACACCCAAATACTTAATAGTATTGTTAATGTCTTAAGCCGTGTGTTATCCAGCCCACGCACCTGTTCATGATATCCTCTTGTTTTTCCTTCGCTTCCTCATATTTGTCAGCTAAGCGTTCAGCCATTTCCCGTAGACTTTTCCTGATGGTGTAAGAAAGAGGTAGCTCTTGGGATCCACCCTGATGTTAGTTAAAGCCAAGTGATGTGATACAGTACGCTCCCCCCTAATTTTGATAGATACTTAGACACTTACCTCTCTTCTCGACAATAACTGAGATCATCTAGTTGTTTCTTTTTTTGGTCACGTAATAATTTGACTCTTTAAGAGGAAAAAAAAAAAGTTTAGTTGGAATACAGCACAAGCTAGCAGCCAGGGACAGAGGATGTCATACCTTCGCTGAATCTCCTCCTTTGCCAGGTCCTGCTTAAGAATGTACTGTTCTCTGAACACCTGGGTGGCTCTACTGATGAGCTGGAGACATTCTTCAGGAGGAGGGGCCAAATCCTTCTCAGATGACCTTAAAAACAAAGCTTCTACATTTTTCTTAGCCAAATAAAACAAAACTGATTCAAATCATAGTTGCTTCCCCCCACCTTCTTTGTACTTTATCTAATTTTCAGTTGCTAGTTTTCTCTCACTAGGTTGTTAGCTATCCCGTCTGAGGACATAAGGAGGAACAGTAATTTGAAAAGAGAAGATAACCTATTGTTAGCACCTATATGCCCAAGATCCCATACTTCAGAAATGCTGGGTTGGCAGCACTGCGTTGCAAAATGCTTCGAATATGCTTTTCAAAGGAATCGGGGGTTTCAGCCAGAATCCGGAGAGGGGACTCTGCAACTTCAACATTATCTTGGGTACAAAGCAGAGGAGGAGATGCTGGATGGACTGTACTTCTGTAAAATAAATAGGTTAAGTGTATCAGGGAGTTACTTACTGTATTACAGAGAAGGGAAGCAGAAACCACATTTATCTAGAATGCTTTAGATCTAAGAAAATAAAAGGTGTTCTTTTTGGTTTTTGCTTGTTTTTTTTTTTTTTTTTTTTTTTTTTTAAGACAGAGTCTCACTATGAAGTTAATGCTGACCTTGAACTCACTTAAGTAGCCCAGGCTGGCCTTGAACTCATGAAGATCCTTCTGCCTCAGCCTTCCTATGCTGGGATTACAGGCATGTGCTGACATGCCCAGCAGAATTACTTTCATATGCAAATGCATGTTTTCTGCTACAAAAAGGTCACCTTTCTGTTATCTTTGGCCTACCAGTGATGCCACTTGTCAAAGCATTTTAGGCTGTGTCATTCCAAGTTCTTTTTGAAATAATAGCAGGACAAACTTTTAAGTGTTCATAGACCCTAAGGCTAAGGACTAGAGAGCCTATTTATAAGCCAGAGCCACCAACACAAGTAGTATATTCCTGTCTTAGGTATAGTTTAGGTTTGGTTAAAATCAGCCAGATAACTACCATACAATATAATCTAATTTTATATAACTTGATTTCTATAAATTACTTCCACTCACATGCAAATATCTGCAAAGGCAATTTCAAAAAGAGCTTGAAAAACCATAAACATTGACAACATGGTAAAGCAACTAATAATACAGTTCAAAGTTGGAAAAGTCATAGGAACAGTAACACAACTTGTATTTTAGGGAACTAACAAAAATTTATTTATTATTTGAAGATGTCCAGATCAGATTTTTAAAATTTTTTAAAAAATTTCTTTATTTGAGGGGCCGGGGAGATGGCTCAGTGGAATAAGCACTTCCCTGGCAAGCACAAGGGCCTAAATTCAATCCCTGGTTCTGCAAAAAAAAAAAAAAAAAAAAATCTTTGATACAGGTCCTTGCTACAAAGTTCAAACTCATAGTAATCGTCCCTGTCTCAGCCTCACCAACGCTGGGATTATAGGCATGTGCTACCGTGCTGGGTTTTGGTGGCTGGCACGGAGTGCCTGGGGTTCCAGGGCCAGCAAAGCATGTGGTACTGGGGATTGAACTCGGGTCCTTGTGCTTTCCAGGCAGACGCTTAAGACTACCAAGCTATCTCCCCAGCCCGATTTTTCCCTTTAGGATTTATATCTTTCATACCTAACTAGTGTGACTAGGTTTTAATTAACTAAGGCTAGTATGTATACAGGTGTATGTTTTTTGTTTTCTTTTTAAGGAACAATAGGTTTTTGAATACTAAGGCAACTGGCAAATACTTGCATGTGATTTTTTTGGTAATCTTTTTGTGACAGGCTTTCCCTACGCCCTTCAGGTTGGCCTTGAGCTCACTTTGTAGTCCAGGCTGCTCTGGACCTCACAACAGTCTTCCTGTCTCAGCCTCCCCAGTGCTAGGATTACAGGTGTGTGCTACCACACCCGACTTTATCTGTAATTTTATTACAGTGATATCTCAGTTCAAGAACTTCTTTCTTTTCATAATTCTGGTCAGTTAATTCATTCCATGATTGTGGGTGTAACTGAATTTAGAATTAATTCTACCAGAATTGTGGAAAGAATTATATTCATGGATGGAGGCACTACTGTACTTTTGTTTAGCATTGCTAGAGTTTTTACTGTTTCAGAATAAGGTACAAAAAATTTGTACTTGAATTCTTTCTTTTCTACATAACTGATCAATCTTTAAAGATCACTGAAGTAATACAATATTTTGTATTTATGTCAGTCTACAGAAATACAGGTTTTGAACTGATTTGGGTCTAGTGTTTGATAACCTGGTGAATTTTGGTCTCTGTATTCTCATTTTTACATTCATAAAACTCAGAATGACCTCTCTAGGCTGCTTGAAAAGGAAAAACACTAAGGAGAATAAGGGCTGTGAATTTAGCTATCTACCAACTTTTTATCAAAATTTGCTGTCTTCTCTTGATATCCCTGTGAGGCTGTCAAAAAGAATATGGACTTTGGAAGTCAGACCTATAGCCACAGTCTACCTGTTAACACTTGTACACTCTTCAGCCTCATTTCCTTTGCTCTAAGATGGGATAATAGTGCTTAAAAAAAAAAAAAAAAAAAAAGTGTTCTTAACACTGTTGATCCTGGTGATTCCAGGAGCAATGCAGGAGAATGGCTCGCTTCTCCGTCTGGGGCAGTTACAGCTTGGTAATCATTAGATCTGCTTCATATATGATGGAGTTGAGTATTTTCGTTCCCCTCTCCCCATACTTTTAAAGAAATCACTTGACTGTAGGTATGTGACAGAGGTTTCAGATAGTATACCTAAAATAGAACTTAGAAATAGCAGGGAAAACAAATATTTACCCTTCCAAGCCTGATGTCAGAAACCAAAGCACAAACACTATCAGGATAGTTTCAAATAAGTTACTGAAGGCATTTTCCCAGTTTATATTTTGCAATAGTAAAGAGAAGTATATAGAAAAATAAAAGATAGGACATACAATAAAGGCCTTATAAGGCATTCGTAAGTACTGGTGATGCAGATCATCGTGGGCCCCAGAATATCAGGAACTATCCAGAATCCTTGAATTGGAGCTGGCTGCCTAGAGAAAAACAGGTAAGTCACAAAGCAGCAAATGCAATGATACCAAGAGCAAAGACAAGACTGGAATCTGTGGCCTGTTCAGGCCAGGGCTGGCAGTTGCTCAGGACACGGTATCTTTCAGTGCCATAACTCCAAATGTGATGGGTTGAAAACCTGTATGAAGCAAGCTGCCACTTGACAATCTACAAGTCATTTACCAAATAGTTACTCAGGAAACCATGGCCTCAGGGTCTTAGTGTCCTCTCAACAGTTTACATGTTACACTGAAGTTCCCAATTTGTGTCTTTCTCGCTAGCTGAGATGTAAGTTTAGTTACAGTATCTTTGTATGCTTAGTTTGGTCCTAATAAACTCAGTATTCATAAACTTGAACAAACAGAACTTTATTTCAGACAGTACATTC